CGTGCTTTCACTGATTACTCTTTAGTGTGTACGATAATCATAAGGTGTTATGTCGCATACTATCCGTGTTGAATGAAACCTCCCTGTTGCTTCTGAATGGCACACTTGCAGCGGGACTTTGACATGACAGAAGGGTAGCGGGATCGAATCTTGCCATCGGCAGTTTTATGCGAAGCAACTGTATTAAGCTTGCGTGTAAAGAATAAGAATTCAAAGCACTGATTTGCATGAATGTGCTCAAAATTCTAGGAGATCATCGCTCTTCGCTATATGCGTTGATACTGTGTTACTACTTGAATCAGGAATTGCTGGCCGACACATTAGCCAGAGGATGCGACTAACGCTCTGCGGAGATCAGTGACAACACTTTCATTTTCCGTCCGCTTCATTAGCGGATGGAGAGTACTGCAAAAAAAATGCCGCCCTTGCATGTATCGGCCATTTCCAAACATCATGCACGATAGACGGAAGCTGCAAAAAAGCATAAAGGCGATACACATTGGATTTGCAGTTCAAGGTCTACACATTGCCCGCGTGGTGGCTGCTGTTGATGCTTGCGGGTTTGCTTACGTGAACCTGCTTCTATTCCCTGGTTCTATGCACGGCACCGTCATCTACACTTGTTCCCAAATAAAGAATGTGCTGAAACAAAGACGGACACTGTCTGGATATTGTTTCCTTGAGGGCTCTGGATTTGCTAATGGAAACGATATCATTATCACAGCGAGAAAATCCTCTGACTAGGCGGGAAGTGTCCTATAACAAATGGCACGCAAAGATGTGAGTTATCATAGAGGGTAACTTTAATGGTGAGCACAAAAGTTCGCGATATTGTAGGATAAGATCTTCTTCTCCACAATGTGATGATTGATATGAGCTGTCTGCGTCGAAGTACCCGAGTTCAGAACTTTCCCGTCACCCCCTACAGACTGCGCATACCCCTTATTTGAACATAATTTAAAAACTGAAGGTTGCACATTTTTCCTTGATCCTGACTTATGTTTTTGTATGTGTTAGATCTTCATTTACAATATTGTTAGAGTAAATAGCACGTAAGCACATGTAACAACATGACAGACTAAAAGGAATGAAAAACCCACAAACTCAAGTAGGAATAAAATATCTTTAATAT